TGGGATGCGAGTTTGAGAGAATGGCATGCGAGCTTCAAAGAATGGCATGCGAGCTTGAGAAAATGGCATGCGAGCTTGAGTGAATGGCATGCGAGCATGAGAGAATGGCATGCAAGCTTGAGAGAATAGCACCTTAAGAGAATGGCATGCGAGCTTGAGTAAAAGGCATGCTAGCTTGAGTGAATGGGATGCGAGCATGAGAGAATGCCATGCGAGCTTGGGAGAAATGGCATGCCAGCTTAAGAGAATGGCATGCGAGCATGAGAGAATGGCATGCGAGCTTGAGAACATGGCATGCAAGCTTGAGAGAATGGCCTGGGAGCTAGAAAGAATGGCTTGCAAGCTTGAGCGAATGGCATGCGAGCTTTAGAAAATGGCATGCGAGCTTGAATGAGTGGCATGGGAGCTTGAAAGAATGGCATGCGAGCTTGGGAGAATGGCATGCGAGCTCAAGAGAATGGCATGCGAGCTCGAGTAAATGGCATGCGAGCTTGAGAGTATGGCATGCGTGCTTGAGAGTATGGCATGCAATGGCATGCGAGCTTGGAAGAATGGCTTGCGAGCTTGAGTGAATGGCGTGCAAGCTTGAAAGAATGGCATGCGAGCTTGAGAGAATGGCATGCGAGATTGAGTGAAGGGGATGCAAGTTTGAGAGAATGGCATGCGCGCTTCAGAGAATGGCATGCGAGCTTGAGAAAATGGCATGCAAGCTTGAGTGAGTGGCATGCAAGCTTTGTGAATGGCATCCGAGCTTCCAAGAATGGCATGCGAGCTTGAGAGAATGGCCTTCAAGCTTGAGAGAATGGCATGCAAGCACGAGAGAATGGCATGCGAGCTTAAGGGAAAGGCATGCGATCTTGAGATAATGGCATGCAATGGCATGCGAGCTTGAGTGAATGGCATCCGAGATTGGGAGAATGGCATGCGAGCATGAGTGAATGGGATGCGAGTTTGACAGAATGGCATGCGACCTTCAGAGAATGGCATGCGAGCTTGAGAAAATGGCATGCGAGCTTGAGTGAATGGCATGCGAGCATGAGAGAATGGCATGCGAGCATGAGACAATGGCATACGAGCTTGAGAACATGGCATGCGAGCTTGAGAGAATGGCCTCAAAGCTAGAAAGAAGGGCTTGCAAGCATGAGTGAATGGCATGCAAGCTTGAGAGAATGGCATGCGAGCTTGAATTTGTTGCATGGGAGCTTGAGAGTATGGCATGCGAGCTTGGGAGAATGGCATGCGAGCTCGAGAGAATGGCATGCGAGCTTGAGTAAATGGCATGTGAGCTTGAGAGTATGGCATGCGAGCTTTAGAGTATGGCATGCGATGACATGCGAGCTTGGGAGAATGGCTTGCGAGCTTGAGTGAATGGCATGCGAGCTTCAGAGAATGGCATGCCAGCTAGAGAAATCGGAATGTGAGCTTGAGTGAATGGCATGCGAGCATGCGAGAATGGCATGTGAGCATGAGAGAAATGACATGCAAGCTTGAGAGAATGGCATGCGAGCTTGAGAGAATGGCATGCGAGCATGAGAGAATGGCATGCGAGCTTGAAAGACAAGGCATGCAAGCTTGGGAGAGTGACATGCGAGCTTGAGTGAGTGGCATGCGAGCTTGAGAGAATGGCATGCGAGCTTCAGAGAATAGCATGCGATCTTGAACAAATGGCATGCAGGCTTGAGTGAATGGCATGCGAGCATAAGATTATGGAATGCCAACTTGAGTGAATGGCATGCAAGCTTGAGAGAATGACACGCGAGCTTCAGAGAATGGCATGCGACCTTGAATAAGTGGCATGCGAGCTTGAGAGAATGGCATGCGAGCTTGAGTGAATGGCATGCGAGCTTCAGAGAATGGCATGCGAGCTTGAAGAAATGGAATGCGAGCTTGAGTGAATGGCATGCGAGCATGAGAGAATGGCATGTGAGCTTGAGAGAAATGGCATGCAAGCTTGAATAAGTGGCATGCGAGCTTGAGAGAATGGCATGCGAGCTTGAGTGAATGGCATGCGAGCTTGAGTGAATGGCATGCGAGCTTCAGAGAATGGCAATGCGAGCTTGAGTGAATGGCATGCGAGTTTGAGAGAATGGCATGCGAGCTTCAGAGAATGGCATGCGTGCTTGAAAGAATGGGATGCGAGTTTGAGAAATGGCATGCGAGCTTCAAAGTATGGCATGCGAGCTTGAGAAAATGGCATTCGAGCTTGAGTGACTGGCATGCGAGCATGAGAGAATGGCATGCGAGCTTGAGAGAAAATGGCATGCAAGCTTGAGAGAATGGCGTGTGATCTTGAGACAATGGCATGCGAGCTTGAGTAAATGGCATGCAAGCTTGTGCGAATGGGATGCGATCATGAGAGAATGGCATGCGAGCTTGAGAGAAATGGCATGTGAGCATGAGAGAATGGCATGCGAGCTTGAGAACATGGCACGCGAGCTTGAGAGAATGGCCTTGGAGCTAGAAAGAATGGCTTGCAAGCTTGAGTGAATGGCATGCAAGCTTGAGAGAATGGCATGCGAGCTTCAGAGAATGGCATGCGAGCTTGAATGAGTGGCATGAGAGCTTGAGAGTATGGCATGCGAGCTTGGGATAATGGAATGGGAGCTCAAGGGAATGGCATGTGAGCTTGAGTAAATGGCATGCGAGCTTGAGAGAATGGCATTCGAGCTTGGGAAAATGGCATGCAAAATTGAGTGAATGGCATGCGAACATAAGATAATGCAATGCCAACTTGAGTGAATGGCATGCAAGCTTGAGAGATCGGCATGCAAGCTTCAGAGAATGGCATGCGAGCTTGCGTGAATGGCATGCGAGCTTGAGAGAATGGCATGCGAGCTTTTGCAGAATGGCATGCGAGCTTGAGAAAATGGCATGCGAGCTTGAGAGAATGGCATGCAAGCTTGTGAGAATGGCTTCCGAGCTTGAGTGAATGGCATGCAAGCTGAGTGAATGGCATGCAAGCTTGAGAGAATGGCATGTGAGTATGAGAGAATGGCATGTGAGCTTGAGTGAATGGCATGTGTGCTTGAGGGAATGGGATGCAAGCTTAAGAGAATGGCATGCCATGACATGCAAGGTTGAATGAATGGCATGCAAGTTTGAGGGAATGGGATGCGAGCTTGAGTGAATGGCATGCGAGCTTGAGAGAATGGCATGCGATGGCATGTGATCTTGAGAGAATGGCATGCGATCTTGAGTGAATGGGATGCGAATTTGAGAGAATGGCATGCGAGCTTCAGAGAATGGCATGCAAGCTTGAGAGAATGGCATGCGAGCTTGAGTGAATGGCATGCAAGCTTTGTGAATGACATGCGAGCTTGAGAGAATGGCATGCAAGCTTGAGTGAATGGCATGCGAGCATGAGAGAATGGCATGTGAGCTTGAGGGAATGGCAAGCGAGCTTGAGTGAATGGCATACGAGCATGAGTGAATGGCATGCAAGCTTGAGAGAACTGAATGCGATCTTGAGAGAATGGCATTCGATGGCATGCAAGCTTGAGTGAATGGCATGCATGTTTGAGAAAATGGGATGCGAGCTTGAGAGAATGGCATGCGAGCTTGAGAGAATCGCCTGCGAGCTTGAGTGGATGGCGTGCGAGCTTGAGAGAATGGCATGCGAGCTTGAGTGAATGGGATGCGAGTTTGAGAGAATGGCATGCGCGCTTAAGAGAATGGCACGCGACCTTCAGAGAATGGCATACGAGCTTGACTGAGTGGTATGCAAGCTTTGTGAATGGCATGAGAGCTTGAGAGGTTGGCAAGCGAGCTTGAGAGAATGGCATTCAAACTTGAGAGAATGGCATGCGAGCTTAAGGGAACGGCATGCGAGCTTGAGAGAATGGCACGCGATGGCATGCGAGCTTACGTGAATGGCATGCGAGTTTGAGAGAATGGAATGCGAGCTTGAGAGAATGGCATGCGAGCTTGAGAGAATGGCATGCGAGCATGAGAGAATGGCATGCGAGCTTGCAAGAAAAGGCTTGCAAGCTTGAGAGAATGGCATGCGAGCTTGAGAGAATGGCATGCGAGCTTGAGTGAATGGCATGCGAGCTTGAAAGTATGGCATGCGAGCTTGTGAACATGGCATACAAGCTCGAGAGAATGGCATGCCAGCTTGAAAGAATGTTTTGCAGGCTTGAGTGAATGGCATGCAAGCTTTAGAGAATGGCATGCGAGCTTCGGAGAAAGCCATCCGAGATTGAATGAGTTGCATGCGAGCTTGAGAGAATGGCATGCGAGCTTGGGAGAATGTCATGCGAGCTCGATTGAATGGCATGCGAGCTTGAGAGAATGGCATGCAAGCCTCAGAGAATGGCATGCGAGCTTGAGTGAATGTCATGCGAGCTTAAGAAAATGGCATGGGAGCTTGAGAGAATGGCATGCGAGCTTGAGAGAATGGCATGCGAGCTTGGGACAATGGCCTGTGAGCTTGAGAGAATGGCATGCAGACTTGAGTGAATGGCATGCGAGCTTGAGAGAATGGCATGCGTGCTTTGGAGAATGGCATTTGAGCTTGCGAAAATGGCATGCGAGCTTGGAAGAATGGCTTGTGCGCTTGAGTGAATGGCATGAAGCTTGAGAGAATGGCATGCGAGCTTGAGTGAATGGCATGTGAGCATAAGAGAATGGCATGGGAGCTTGAGAGAGTCGCATGCAAGCTTGAGATATTGGCATGCAAGCTTGGGAGAATGGTTTGTCTTTTTGAGAGAATGGCATGCGTGCTTGAGTGAATGGCATGTGAGCTTCAGAGAATGGCAATGCGAGCTTGAGTGAATGGCATGCGAGTTTGAGAGAATGGCATGCGATATTCAGCGATTGGATGGCGGTGGGTGATGCGGTGATTGACGAGGGCGCGAGACGAATAGAGGCCGGGATGAAAACGGGGTGAATTGAGAGCTGGTGCGCTGAGAAGACAAGGCTGGTGAACAATATACTATCGGCGGTCCCGTGCGAGTAGAGCCTTGGAGTTGGTTTTGCGGAGATGGGAACACAGCAAAGGAAATGCATGAATGAATGTTGTATGCGACACAGAAAAGTTCAAAACTACAAATATATCTAAGAAGGTTTAATCCAAATTTCATAATCCTTCTTTCTTGCGTAGATCCTTGCTCAGACTCCTTGCTACTACAATGACAACGGCAATCTTTCAACGGGCAGCAGCCATCGCGTGCACACGGCTGCCTTTATCCCTGCTGTACGTGCATCATCTCCATGCCAGGACTTACCAACTTGGACGAATCCAAGCAATAATGCGAGCACTCCTCTCGTGTGGGTAGTTGTGCAGTTGGGCCTTTTTGTACGGACTGACTGCGTTGTCAATGACGATGATCTTCTGTGTAAAGACCTCACCTCTCCTCACGTGCAAAGATTATAATCTAGGACCATTACATTGTAGTCCCGTCACATCACACAACATGCGGTGGGCACTCTCAAGTGCGCATCCACGTGCGCAACGTTGTACTGCAACAGCCACCGTCATGTGCGTGCGACAGCAGATGCACATGGCCTGCCGGTAGCCCAACGGCTCACGCCTCACGAGTGCGCATCCTCGATCTCAAACACGGCGCCGTCGCTCTGAGCAAAGTTGTGTGTTGTGTGGTCCACCACCTTGGATCAAAGGGGGGTTGGCGGCACGAGGGTGGGGGAGGAGTGAGTCGTGATGCAGAGGATGGGGAGCACACGGATGGCAGGGAGCACATGGCAGGGGATGGGAGACAGGAATCTTATGGAATGAAGGCCACACGCCAGCCGCATCCATCCCCTCCCCCTCCTCCCTTCCCCCCCCCCACTCCCCCCCCCAGGGGCGCACGTTGGTGTCTTGGAGCTCGAGGTTGAAGAAGTCCATGCAGGGCTGGGCGAAGAGCGGCCCCGCGTGCCACGTGCCTGCGTGCAGCTTCACCACCACCGCGCCCTCCATCACAAACACCCTCACCGCCCCCGGCTCTGGCGGCCGGTACCGCTGCCCCGCCGCTCCCCGCGGCACTCCCCTGCAGCAGTGGCGTGGGAGAGAGGCGGGGGCAATGCGTGGCCGCAGGAGGGAGGAGAGGGCCCATGGGCGTGAGATGGATGTTGGCTGGGGGATGGAAGGAAACGGGAGGAATGGACGATGGGGTGGGGGAGGGGAGGACACCCATGGCAGCAGGGCATGGTGGGGAGATGGGAGAGGCATGCAGAGAACGGGGCAGAGAGGGCTCAAGAGCGAGCACAACACAGTGCACCTGAGAATGCCCCCTCCACCCCTGCTCCCCTCCCCTGCTCATGTGACCTCGTACCATCACTGCACCCAGCATCCTGGACCAGACAGAGCCCTCAATGCACCATGCGCCCTCGCCCCCTCCCCCCCTTACTCATCATCATCATCACCACCATCCCCCTGCACGAGGGATGGCGGCGCCACGCCTAGGAACCATGGCTGCCCGCCCACGGCGCCCAGGCACTGCGTCACACGCGCGTGGTGCGTGATGCGGTCAAACCCCAGAGGGCGGTCCCGCAGCCGCATTATGTACACCCTACCAGGGGGAGGGAGGGGGGAGAGGATGGTAGGGGGGTGAGGGGTGGGGGAAGGGGGCGGGAGGATGGGGGGAAATACACTCCCCCAGATGTCTTATGATGGGAGCATGGCGGATGCAGTACACACAGCAGCACTAATGGCATTCCCACGGTGAATGGCCCTTATGCCACACAGCAATGCATACAGTCTGAGGCAGCTGCCTATGCAGCATGGCGTGCGGAGTGGGGCACCAGCAGCACTGTGTGCGTCCAGAACGAGTCACTGCAGCCATCGCCACTCTCCTCCATCCTTTCACATCCAACCATCCCCCCTCTCTCCCCCCACCCCATACGCCCCTTCACACCCCCCCCTCCCTCCCCCTTCCCCCCTCACCCACCGTGGCGTGCCCTGTGTGAGGTCCAGCGCGGCGTCCTCAGCGCCGAACGCCACGCCGTCCTCGGCGGGCTCCACCACCTCGCCGAAGGGCGCGAACGCCTCGCGAGTCAGCGGGATCGCCTGCAGCTTGATGACACGTGGCGCGCTGCCCGCTTCAGGCGGCGATTGCGACGCCGTCGCCATCCCCTCGGCGGCAGAACAGCGGAATCGGCGTAAGGGGCGGCAGGGCGCGGAGTGACGGGCGGGGGTGGCGGCGAGGGAGAGGCCGGGGGAGGAAGCGAGGGGAAGAAATGGGAGGGGAGGGAGAGGGCGCGCGGTCAGAGGGGAGGAGGGGGAGGCAGACAGGTGAGACATCCCAAAAATCATGGTGGCAAAATGTTCCCCACAAGACTACTGCAAGTGACCTTGGGGTTTCGCGCCTGGGGGTAACCCTGGGGCTTCCGACTGGGTATCCCACGCGAAACCCTCGGTCAGAATGCCTTTCGAGGTAACCTGGGGGTGTCCCATGTGATGTATCCCACGTGACACGGTCAAGTCACCTTCAAGTGACACGCGGGGGTCGAGGTGTGAACAATTTGACACGTACGTATCTCCGTCAAAACTGGGTTCACGTTCAGGTATTAGGAGAACACTACTACGTTTGCAAATTGTGGTCATTATGGTTAGAAAAGTTACATTCTATCCTCGTCAAAGGCGGCCCGATACGGATACACCCTCCGACTGATTATATATGGATTCCACCACGCTATTAGCACATGCACGACTCAATAACGGGTTATTTCAAAAAGGGCCTTTACTGTAGCTTGACATACGAGCCGCATCTTATATTTATTTAATGCAAAGCAGCGTACTCAAAGTTTGTAAATTGCATATTCTTAGCTTTAAGGACTTGAATCTCTAACTCATAAATGCTCAATTGACCAAAATCAAATGCCAATGTGTTTTTTCCCATAAGAATACGTCTTAGCTATAAAGCAAATGGTGGTCAAATGGTGTCGGTACCTCCTCCTTCCCAGGATGATCTAACGGCAGATCTAGTGCTGGGAGGGAGGGGGGCTACAATCAACAGATGACAAAAACAAGCCAGCACTGGTGGTGCATAGCATAGTTGCACACATGACACTACTGCAAAAAACGACGTCAGGTGGGCGAGGTGTAATAGTGTATCCTGCATTCAACCCACCAGAGGCCAACGTAAGCATGCAACGGTTAATCAATATAGGAAAACCTGACAGGGAGTCCTGCGTCACCTGACAGGGAGAGAATCCGAGGGGCGGAAAAGACGGGGGCCTGGAAAGGAAATGGGAGAGGGCATGGCGGATTGGAACAAAAAAGTAGATGGAATGGCATGAACCTGGGTACAATTTGATAAGAAACTGAGTGGGGCAACCCATCGGAACCAAATGGAGGGGTGGGGGGAAGGAGGTTGGGCGGAGGGAGGGGGGAAGAGGGGGGGGGGGGGGAGGGGGGAAGAGGGGGGGGGGGGGGGGAGGGGAGAAGGTAGAAATGTCGACAAAGGCCAGAGATGCAGAAGCGCTACAGCCGTACCTGCGTACGGTGACGAGCCCCGAGAGCTTGTTAGAACTGCACGAGTTGACCCCCGGAATACCCCGGGTTAAGCCCACGTGTCCCGTCCGACGTGCTCCAACGGAGAATTCCGCGCGTCCAACCCGTCGTGCACCGCCACAAGCGCAGGCGTCCCACCAGCCGAGACGAGAGTAAAGAAGCGCGTGCGTGACGCCAGCCGTGCAGCGTCGCAATCGCGAGCATCCTGCCAGCTATGCACAGTCAGAATCGCGCGCCTCCCGCCAAGAAAATACCGCAAGAAGCTCACCGGCCCCGCCCGACTCCTGGTGGTGAGCTGCGAGTTCAGGGGAAGGGGGTGGGGGGGGGGGGGCGGGAAAATGCGGAAGTGCTACAGCCATACCTGTATATGGTGTGAAACCCCATAAGCTTGGTATGGACGCACGGAGTGACACGTGCCATGCACCGCGATTCCCTCAGGCGTCCCGCCCAACGTCCAGCGCGAGAAGGTTACGCGTCTCGACCGACGTGCTGTCAAACATGTTTAGTTATCATGCTTGTATAGACTATATAGGGTCATCTTCTAGAGAGCACAACTGTTAGGTATATGTTTGTGTACTCTCTTCCTCTCACATATCAATTTCACTGTTTGATATGGTATCACGCGTAGGTAGGATCCCCCCCCCCCTCACGCTTCCGCTCGCCCCCCTAGCTGGGCCCCGTCGTGCTCCTAGCCCCGTCGCGACCCTCCCTCGCCCCGTCGCGACCCTCCCTAGCCCCGTCGCGCCCCTTCCTGGGCCCCGTTGCGCCCCTTTCTGGGCCCCGTAGCGCCCCTCCAGGGCCCCGTCGCGCTCCTCCCAGGCCTCGTAGCGCCCCTCCTGGGCCCAATTGCGCTCCTCCCAGGCCCCGTCGCGCCCCTTCCAGGGCTTCGTAGCGCCCCTCCAGGCCCCGTCGCGCCCCTTCCAGGGCTTCGTAGCGCCCCTCCAGGCCCCGTCGCGCCCCTTCCAGGGCCTGGTAGCGCCCCTCCAGGGCCCCGTCGCGCTCCTCCCAGGCCCCGTAGCGCCCCTCCTGGGCCCCATTGCGCTCCTCCCAGGCCCCGTCGCGCCCCTCCCTAGCCCAGTCGCGCTCCTCCCAGGCCCCGGTAGCGCCCCTCCTGGGCCCCATTGCGCTCCCCCCAGGCCCCGTCGCGCCCCTACCTGGGCTTTGTAGCGCCCCGCCACGCCCCGTCGCGCCCCTCCCAGGCCCCCCCTCGCGCCCCTACCAGGGCCCGTAGCGCCCCTCCTGGGCTCGTAGCGCCCCTCCTGGGCCCGTAGCGCCCCTCCTGGGCCCGTAGCTACCCTCCTGGGCCCCGTCGAGCCCCTCCTGGGCCCTGTCGCCCCTGCTCGGCCCCGTCGCCCCTGCTCGGCCCCGTCGCCCCTGCTCGGCCCCGTCGCGGCCTCTCGGCCACGTGGCGCCCGCCCGGCCCCTGTCGCGGCTGCCCGGCCCCTGTCGCCCTGCCCGGCCCCTGCTCGCCCGCCCGGCCCCGTCGCCCCTGCCCGGCCCTGCTGTGTCCTGCCCGGGCCCCGTCCCTGCCGCCCGACCTTGTCGCTGCCGCCCGGCCCCGTCGCAGCCGCTCGGCCCCGTCGCCCCTGCCCGGCCCTGCTGTGTCCTCCCCGGCCCCGTCCCTGCCGCCCGGCCCCGTCGCAGCCGCCCGGCCCCGTCGCAGCCGCCCGGCCACGTCGCAGCCGCCCGGCCTTGTCGCTGCCGCCCGGCCCCGTCGCCGCCGCCCGGCCCCGTCGCAGCCGCCCGGCCACGTCGCAGCCGCCCGGCCTTGTCGCTGCCGCCCGGCCCCGTCGCCGCCGCCTGGCCACGTCGCAGCCGCCCGGCCTTGTCGCTGCCGCCCGGCCCTGTTGCCGCCGCCCGGCCCCGTCGCAGCCGCCCGGCCCCGTCGCAGCCGCCCGGCCTTGTCGTGCCTGCCCGGCCCTGACGCGCCTGCCCCGGCCCTCCATACTTCCTGGTACTGTCCCCCGTTCCCCGCACCACTTTGCACCCTCCTTCACTTTCCTGCCCCGCCTTGCACCGCATTGCACCTCACTGGACCGCACCGCCCGCACTGCATCGCACTGGACCGTACTGCACCGCACTGCATCGCACTGCACCGCACTGCATTGCACTGCACTGTCCTCCACTGCCCCTCATGGCTGCTGAGCTTCGTTTTGATGCTGAGGGTCAGCCTCTGGAGTTCGAGGCGTGGTTGGCTGACCTTCGCCGCCACCTCACTGGCCAGCGGCAGGACGGCCACCCGCTTTCTGCACACCTAGACGGTATGCTCCCCTGCCCTGACCCCCCTGCTGTGCTGCCCGCTGATCCCACGCCCGCTGAGCGCGAGTCCGCTGCCGCTGCTGCCCTTGCCCGCTCTGTCTGGCTTTCCCGCGATGCCCTTGCTCAGCTCGCCATTAGCAATGCCCTCCCCCCCCTTGAGCGCCCTCGCTTTAGAACCATTTCTACCGCCCAGGCCTACCTTGATGCTGTCATCAAGCGCTATTCTACCCCTCCTGCTGCCTCAGTGGGTCGCCTGATCCTCCCCCTGCTCTTTCCTGACCTGGCGTCTTTCCCCACTGTCTCTGACCTCGCTGCCCACCTGCGCTCGATAGATGAGGCCTGGCGCGCTGCCTGCACTGATGCACAGCTTAGAGTCCACCAGCCTCCCATGACCTCCACCCTCTACCTCCTTGCCACCCGCCTCCCTGACCGCCTTGCCGCCGCCCGCGACCAGTTTCTTAGCATCCATCCTGCTGCTCTCACCCTCACCGACTTTGTTGACACCCTGACTGCCATAGAGACTCGTCACCGCTCCATAGCCCAGGCGAGCGGTACAGTACCGGTCCCTATCTTTCAGGGTTGTGCCCCCGCTCAGTGTACCTTCTCCGACGGCTCTGTCGCTGTGGCTGAGACTGCTGCTGCAGTGCAGTCCCGCTCGGCGAAGGGCCGCCGCCCCAAGGTTGGGAGCGGCGGAGGCGGCGGGGGTGCGGGTGGGGGTAGTGGTGGAGGCGGGTCGTCCGGTGCCGGTGCGGACGTGGGGACCCTGCCCGGTCCAGCTGCCCCGCTGCCTCCACCGTTGCAGCAGCAGCAGTCGCCGCAGCCGCAGCAGCCGCAGCAGCCGCCGCAGACGAGGCCGGCGAGTGCTCTCCCGCCTGGGTGGCCTGGAGCTGGTGGTGGTCGTGCGCGTGGTGGTGCACCGGGTGGTGGTTCTGGAGGCGGGCCCTGTCAGTACCAGATCCAGACCGGTCCTCGCCGCGGCTTCGTTTGCGGTAAGATCGGTCATTCTACTCCTCGCTGTTTTCGTCGTCTGGACGACCTGTTCCGCCAGCGCTTTGGCCCGGCGCCCGACCTCCCGGACTGGCACAGCTTGCTTAGGCGTAGCATTAGGATTTTTGACTTGGACATGGATGCCATTGTAGCAGCCTTGCATGTGATGTATGCTGATGACTCTAGTGTGCTTCCCTCTTATTACCCCGTGTTGCCTAGTGTAGCGGTGCCCAGCGTAGACTCCCCTGCTGCGTCAGGCGTAGGATCTCCTGCTTTGCTTAGCCTTGGTGCTTCCACCGCTTCACTGCCGCCTCACGCGACTGCTGCGCTTTCCTTCACCTTGGACTCTGGCGCCTCCCGGTGTTTCTTCCGCGACTCCACGACGCTGACGCCGCTGCCTGTTCCCGCTGCCGTTACTCTTGCTGACCCCTCCGGTGGTCCCGTCGTTGCCCGCAGTTCCACCTCCCTTCCCTGTCCGGCGGTTCCTTCAGGTTCGCTCACCGGTCTGCATATCCCCTCGTTCTCCAGGAACCTAGTTGGTGTCGGCTGCCTCCAGGACCTTGGCGTCACCACTACGTTCCCTGGTCACGAGCGGTATGCTGTCTGTACCGAGGCCGCCACTGGTGCCCCCCTGTCCACGTTCCCCCGGGA